GCTGAGACTAATAAGAGAAGGTGGCATGTCACCCTTAATTCCTGGCCCTAGCAAGATGCCCCTTGCTAGCCACATGAAGATTTGGACAAGTCACTAAATTCTTGAGTCTCAGTGTCCTTATCTGGAAAATGGATATATTAAACCATCTTATAGAACTTTCAAGAAAGGGAAATGAGAAAATGGATGAAAATCACTTTGAAAACTCCAATTTACTTCCAAATATGAGGGGGTGGAAGTGGTGAGGTTGCAAATGCTCCCTGGCCACCTGAAGGGGCATGATGTGGGAAGAGGGAGGAGGTTTGCCAGGAACCCTCCTTTACTAGCTCTATAGCCTTTGCTGGAAGACGTCACCAGGGCCCGTGCTGTCGCTGGAGTGTCCCTTCTCTGCCAGTCCTGCACCTCCAGCCCAGGGAGTAACACACTACCCCACCCCTTTCTCATATGGCAGAGTCATGAGACTGGCCTCGGGTCAAGGACTAGCCCCAGCCTTCCAGGGCCTGCGTATCCTCTTCCTGGGGTTGTCCCTGTGGAGGTCCCTCTCCAGAAGGGTGAGTTGTGGGCACCCCCTCTGGGCTCAGCTCCAGTACCCAGAGAATCATGCCAGGAGGGTCCAGTTTCATGAGCATTTAATTCGCCTGAGCTCATAGGTGGGTTTCATGGCTGGAGGTGGGGGAAGGGAGAGGCATCCCCAGCTGCTATTTTATACACCTGTGGGAGCAGTTTAGGACCACAATTTGAGATGACAGTAGAAGTCTTTCATATAATAGCATATTAACAGTATACTAATAATAATGTGAATAACAATAGTAATTATTACAACTATACAGTAATAGCAATAGCAGTGATTCATTAAGAGCTTACTATGTGCCAGGTACTTGGTTCTATGCCCCTCATATGTATTTGCTCACTAATCCTCATCCTCTATATCAGTCGTAAGTACTATAATTATCCAAGAAGCTGAGGCACAGAAAGGATACATCAGATACCTAAGGCTTCACGAAGCTAGGATGAACCTTTTAACCTACCAGTGGTTTCCATGGGGATGATACTGGCCCCTAGGGGTATTCAGTTGTCTCAAGAGTGCAAAACTCTTGCTGGCATTTAGTGACTATAATGCACAGGACAAATTTCCGAAACAAAGAATTGTCCCATATCCTGCACAACTTTCGAATGTGCAACTGAACTAAACAGGTATGATCGACTTACGACCTATGCAGCTTATGACCATTCGACTTTACGACCACAATCGCTAGCCGTGACTGCTCCGCTGTAGATTTTTGGAAACACTACAACATTTTGATGTGTATCAAGAATATCGCTACCGCCTGGGAGGCTGTGACGACAAAGTGCATGAATGGCATCTGGAAAAATTGTGTTAAGCGCTATGTTAATGATTTTAACGGATTTGACAGTGAAGATGAACTTGAAACGATTCGGGAAAAAATAGGAAAACTTGCTAAAGACCTTTCTTTGGAGTGTGAAATGGAAGATGTCGAAGAGTTGCTAGACAAAGAATTCGGAGAACTTACAAATGAAGAGCTAATCAAACTGGAAGAAGAAAGAGTGGCGGAAGAAGAAAGAAGAGAAGCAGAGAAAGAGGAGGAGGAACCAGAAAGAAAGTTCACCGCTAAGGGATTATCAGACGGTTTATCTTTACTGAATAAACTTCTTATACATTTCGAAGCAATGGACCCAAACATCGAACGATTTGCAAGGATTGAACGGATGGCGCACAATGTGTTTCATTCGTATCGTGAAATTTATGAAGAAAAAAAGAAACATACAATTCAGACAAAGCTCACCATGTTTATGAAAAAACCAACTCCGGTAACCCCAACTGCTGCCTCAGATGACAACATCAATGATCTGCAGCCAAGCACCAGCAGCCAATAAAATGTTTCATACATGTTTATTTATTTTGATATGTTTTGCAATTGGGAAAATGTTTCCTATGGTATTTTTTACACTTGTATTTTGTATTTTTGTATGCACCTGTATTTTGTAATTTTGTGTGTTTTGCAAATATTAAACCAGTTGTACTGGTAATGCAGTGTTTTACTTAAACCTGACGAATGTAAAAATAAGAAACAAAATGGTGTAGAGATGATACAAATGGCATAAAATGAACAAAGAAAATTATGATATATAACAATAATGAAAGAAAATTGTGATAAAATATGACTTAAAGATTTTTATAACATCATTTCACAGTACTGTACATACAGCCTACTCAACTTACGACCAAATCGTGTTACGACCGGTCTGTAGGAACCAATCATGGTCGTAAGTCGAGCACTAGCTGTACCAGTAAAAGTTGGTCATATTTCAATTGACAGCAATACCAAAAAGTTTTTATAAGCTTTTAAAAATAAATTTCACAAAAACTCAGAAAGTTAGGAGATAGTTATTATGGAGGAGAAACTTAAAATGAATAAAGGCATTGTCTCAAAATTATTGAATAATCGACTCCATGCATTGTCTACATAGAGGATTATAAGATTCCGACTGCTGTGTATCTGATTGAAAACAGTTTCTATCACTAGGTGATACTAATTGACTGAAAATATTTAACAGAGACGTGAGAGAACCAGTCATGAAAGCAGAGATACTTGAGATACAAGAGATCTCACTGGGTCTCCCTAATAAAGGTTTTAGAGTTTATTCCATATTATTGCCATCCTTTATATGTTTAAAGTGTTTTGCAGCTCAAGGATGAACACCAATGTTGTCACAATTATGTATGGAAATGTTGTGTTCTGTCTTTACAACACCGTCCCAGGGGTCCATGTGCAATTCCTCTAAACCGTTATTATCTTCTTTTTCCTTCCCAAATCCATCCTCTATCCCTCATTTCCCATGGGAAATATATGGTCTCTAAGGCCTTTTAAGATCCCGGAGACTGAATTTTGCCTTAACACTGACGCATTTCAAGACAGAGGTCTATGTGTCCATGGTACGCCATAGCGACCCCATTCCACGGGAGCTATTTTGACAACACACAAACACATAAGTCCCAGGTCCTTTCCATGCACAGCGTGCATCTATATTATCTCCACCTTGTGTTCTCTAATTTGCCTTGCTGTGTTATCCCTATTTCCATTAAGATGCTTTCCCTCTCTTACATGCACGTACATCTGGTATGTTATTACTTGCCTAACAGTTTCTATTCTATTTCACTTCCTGCTACTCTTTCACTTTCTTGCTTGTGTGTGATTTTTGTTTTTACATAGAATGGCTCATCTTCTATCTCTCTTAAATTCAAACATATATTATGCGTAGGTGCAAGCAATCTGCCTGTTTCATTTATGTCTTCTGGTAAGTCTTGCCTAAGCATTTATATATTGAAAGACATTCTGTTTTATCATAAGTTATTCTTTTTTTTTTTTTGAGATGGAATTTCTCTCTTGTTTCCCAGGCTGGAGTGCAGTGGTATGATCTTGGTTCACCACAACCTCCACCTCCTGGGTTCAAGAGATTCTCCTGCCTTAACCTCCCGAATAGCTGGGATTACAGGCATGTGCCACCATGCCCAGCTAATTTTGTATTTTTCATAGAGATGGGGTTTCTCCATGTTGGTCAGGCTAGTCTTGAACTCCTGACCTCAGGTGATCTGCCAGCCTCGGCCTCCCAAAGTGCTGGGATTACAGGCATGAGCCACTGCACCAATATAATAAAAAAAAATAACATTTAAAAAATTATGTTAGCTTTTCTTATGTTTTGTTGTTGTTGTTTGGTTATTTTTGAGACAGGGTCTCTCTCTGTTGCCCAGGCTGGAGTGCATGGCTTGACCACGGCTCATCGCAGCCTCTACCTCCTGAGCTCAAGCAATCCTCCTACCTCAGCCTCCCCAGTAGCTGGGACTACAGGCAGGCACCACCACATCTGGCTATTTTATTTTAGTTTTGTAGAGACAAGGTCTCTACAAAAGGTCTCTCTCTCCCAGCCAGGCGTGCTGTCTCTGGGAAACCTACCAGCGTGACCTCTGGAGCCAGGGGCTGGAAGCTGCTGTGCTGGCACCCTGGGGCAGCAGGTAGGGCGGGTGTGGCTCCCCTGCTCTCCAGCAGGTGGGGGTTGCTCAAGGCCCACAGGTAGCCAGAGGCTGGTGCCCAGAGGATCCCTTTCCCATCCCGGGCTCTTAGAACTGGGTTGCCACAAAGGTGGACTCAGGAAGCCTCTGCCCATTCAGACATCTTTCCCCACAACCATCAAGGTCTCCAGTGGCCCTGGGGGCCACTTTCCTGCTCAAACCACTGAGCCCAAACCCCTCGGCTCAAGCAATCTGCCTGCCTTGGCCTCCCAAAATGCTGGGATTACAGACATAATGCATTTTCAATGCCAGGTCTGTTTGCATTTTTTAAATGCTGTATGTAGATTAGTCCTATCATCTATGAAATTCATTTCTTCATGACTGGAGAGAGGAGACATTGCAGAGTGGATGCTGGCTCTCTTGTCGTTGAGAGCCACTGCTCTGAGACAGGAAAAAGGATGTTAGGAACTAACTGTCCCTTCTTTTGCAGGCCCAGAGGACGAAAGGACGAATCTCTGTCTACATAGCTGGTGGGTAGACTAGAACCAGGCCCCCTGAATCGTCCAGTCCTGCCCCAAGCCCAAATTCAGGGCTCTGTCTTTCATAGCTCAACCTCACAGTCAGTCCAAAGCTATACACAGCTTGGGGGAAAGGAGATCGAAGCCCTTCATGTCTAACTTCCCCCATGGCGCTTTTGCCATTGATTTAACCGGATCTGGCGGTGCCATTAGGTCATCAACAGGCTTTGCATAGTCGCTCATCGCCTCCCAGCGCCTAGTAAGTGTAATAGCAGAAAGCAAAAAGCTTGACTTTCAAAATGAATTTAGTACATTCCCAAAGAGATGCGTGGATGCCAACTCTTCCCACACCACCAAACCAAGAGAGAAACCTGAGCACCCCCTAGATCCCTATGCTTCCGTATACAGTCTAAGTTTTGAGGGGCAGATGAGAGACGCAGAACACACGGGCACCTGCCTGGTGTGCGGGGGGGTGGGGCCCGGGCTGGAGAGGGAGTTAATGATTGGCCACAGATTCATTTCGCAACTTACCAAGGGTCAGCTTCCCGTGACCATGTACCAGCTGAGTCCTCTGGGCTACGCTCCACTTGCCCGCTTCCACCAGAAAGGCCCCCCAGGCTGAGTGCGGCATGATCTCCATCACCGAATGGCAGAGTGAGTGGGGGGAGCGGGGTTGCAATGGGCTATCTGGTCTAGGCTCCCTGTCGGCTCGCTCTCTCTCCCAGCCAGGCTCCCTGTCTCTGGGAAACCTACCAGCGTGACCTCTGGAGCCAGGGGCTGGGAGCTGCTGTGCTGGCACCCTGGGGAAGCAGGCAGGCTGGGGTGTGGCTCCCCTGCTCTTCAGCCAGTGGGGGTTGCTCAAGGCTCACAGGTAGCCAGAGGCTGGTGCCCAGGGGACCTGGCAGGTTCCCCAGTCACACTGACCCCTTTCCCATCCCGGGTTCTTAGAACTGGGTTGCCACAAAGGTGGACCCACTAGGCCTCTGCCCATTCAGACATCTTCCCCCACAACAATCAAGGTCTCCTGTGGCCCTGGAGGCTTCTTATCAGAAACTAAACTCCACTTCCCTGCCCAAACCACCATACCCTCCATCCTAAACATCCTTCCCCTTCTTTTGGGGAAGAGGAAGGGAGGAGGTCTTGTAACAGGTCGGGGCAATGGGAAGAACTGTGGCTCTGAGGGCTTCATTTGGGTGAGTTACTTAAAGCCTCTGAGCCTTGGTTTTTCATCTGAGAACTGGTGACAACATTCTTTTGTTCACTCAACAGATTTTTCTCTGCTGTGTGCCAAGCGCTGTACTGGACATAGAATGTCCAACATTAAATGAAACAGCCTCCCTGCTTACATTCTAGAGAGGAGAGACAGGTCATTAACAGAAAGAAGTATGGAGGGCTGGGTGTGATGGCTCATGCCTGTAATCTCAGCACTTTGGGAGGCCGAGGCGGGCGAATCGCAAGGTCAAAAGATCGAGACCATCCTGGCCAATATGGTGAAACCCCATGTCTACTAAAAATACAAAAATTAGCCAGGCACGGTAGTGCATGCCTGTAGTCCCAGCTACTTGAGAGGCTGAGGCAGGAGAATCTCTTGAATCTGGGAGGCTGAGGTTGCAGTGGGCTGAGGTCGTGCCACTGCACTTCAGCCTGGGGACAGAGCAAGGCTCTGTCTCAAAAAAGAAAAAGAAAAAGAAAGAAGTCCGTAGTATATTAGAAGATAGTAAGTTCTCCAGACGACAATAAAATCAGAGGAGGCTATGGAGTTCAAGGCAGGAGGAGTTGCTATTTTATATACAGCGGTCAGGGAAGGGCACTATACAGAGGCCTATAGGAAGTGAGGAAGCAAAGCCGAGCAGCTCTCTGGAGAGATGTTCCAGGAAGCAGGGACGGACAGCGCAAAGGCCCTGAGCATTAGCCTACTTGGTGTGTTTGAGCAGCAACAAGGAGGCGGGTGTGCCTGGAGCACAGTAAAGAGGGGGAGAAGCTTAGGGGTTGAGGTCAGGGAGGTCGCTGAGATGACCTTGGTTTTATTTATATAAGATAAGAAATGATTGGAGGGTTTTGTGCAGTGCTGTGATATGTTCTATTTCTGTGTTTAAAAGATCACTCTGAGTACTGGGTAGAGAATAGACCGCGGAGGTGTGAAGGCAGCAGCAGGGAAGCCAGTTCTTTTTTTTTTTTTCTGAGACAGAGTCTCACTCTCTCACCCAGGCTGGATGCAGTGGCACAATTTCTGCTCACTGCCATCTCCACCTCTTGGGTTCAAGCGATTCTCCTGCCTCAGCCTACGGAGTAGCTGGGATTACCGGCGGGCACCATCACACTTGGCTAATTTTTGTATTTTTAGTAGAGACGGGGTTTCACCACGTTGACCAGGCTGGTCTCCAACTCCTGAACTCAAGTGATCCACCCACCTCGGCCTCCCAAAGTGCTGGGATTACAGGCATGAGCCACCGCGCACAGCCAGGGAAGCCAGTCCTGTGTGTGCGAAGGTGGCGGAGTCGAAGGTGTTAGCGGGGTATTAGTGGGGCGTGGTCCACGTGGAACCTGCCTTGAGGAAACTGCTGAGGATTTGCTGACGGATTGGATGTAGGGTGTGAGAGAAAGAAGACTCAAGAATGCCTTGTAGATTTTTTACCTGTGCAATGGGAAGGGTTGAGTTGGGGGGAAAGCAGAAGTTGGGCTTTAGATGCGTCGAGTTTGTTTGTGCTGTTAGACCTCTGGGTGACATGTCAGGTAGGCTGTTGCGTATGCGAGTCTGGAGCTCCAGGTAGAGGCCTGGGCTGGAGAGAAGAAGGTGGGAGTAATCTGGGTATCCATGTTCTTTAGGACCATGGGTGTCCATGAGAGGGCAGGCACAGTTTCTCACCGCCCCACCACTGACATTTTGGGGCAGGATAATCCTTTGTTGTGGGGGCCTGTCCTGTACCTTACAGGACATTGGCAGCATCTCTGGCCTCTACCCACTGCATACCAGTAGCACCCCCCAGTCCAAGTCGTGACAATCAAAAACGTCTTCAAACATTGCCAAACATGCCCTGGGAAAGACATTCACTTCCTGCCCCCTCCCCCCTACCATCCCCTCACCCCAGGTGAGAACCATGAACCTGGTGAATGACAGTATGGAGAGAGGAGGGTTGGGTCCTCAACCCAGTGGCACACTGACACTTTGTTAAACCAAGTAGCCTTCAAGTAAACATTCTCTAACCAAATGTGATAAGCAAGTCCTGTGAGAGAGAAATGAGGGATTTAGGTCAGGGAACAAAGTGGACCAGCTTTCCCTGAGCAACTGACATTTCAGTTGCGATCTGAAGGATGAGCATGCATTGTCAATAACAAGTGAGAGGGAGGGGAGTGCAGGCCAGGAAACTGCATCTACCAAGGCCCTGAGCCAAGACGGCTCACACGGAAGCCGTGGAGAGCAGTGTGGTTGCAGCGTGGCAGGCAGGAGGGACGGTGGCAGGAGAAGAGGTGGCCAGGCAGGGCCTGTGAGCCGCGGTGTGGACGAGGGGGCTCTGTTCCAGTCTTAGCTCAGTGGGCGGCTGTGAAGGAGTCTAGGCCGTTTGCTGACATGATCAGGTTGCATGTTTTGCAAGACCGTTGAGCGCTTTGTGGAGGAGGACTGGGAGGGTGCAGGAATGGAGCAGGAGGCTCTGCAAGAGTCCAGGGAAGAGATGATCGTGGCCAGGAAGTAGTGGTAAGAATGGAGAGAAATGGACAGCTTTCAACATGTATCTTGGAAGAAGAAAAGAAAGCTTAGCAGCGGATTGCATGGGGGAGGGGTGGGCTTTTGCCTTAAGTGGTGGGGTGGGCGGTGGTGACATGTTTACTCATTTGGGGAAAACCAAGGGAGCCACAAGCTGAAAGAAGGAAGATAAATAGCCCAGTTTGGGATCAAGATTAGCCCAGTTCAGGATGGCTGAGAAAAAGCCAGGCAGAGATGCCAAGTAAGCAGCTAGGTGTGAGTTTCACAGCCCAAAGAGAGGCCTGGACTAGAAAAACATCAATGTCATCAGCCTACAAAGGATGTTTAAAGATGTGAGAGGCTGGGTGTGGTGGTTCATGCCTGTAATCTCAGCACTTTGGGAAGCTAAAATGAGAGGCTCGCTTGAGGCCAGGAGTTCAAGACCAGCCTAGACACCTTGCAAAACCCCTGTCTCAACAACAAAAATATTTAAACCAATTTTTAAAAATTAGCTGGGCATGGTGGCCATGTACCTGTAGTCCCAGCTACTCAGGAGGCTGAGGTGGGAAGATCCCTTGAGCCCAGGAGTTCAAGGCTACAGTGAGCTATGATTGTGCCATTGCACTCCAGCCTGAGCAACATAGTGAGATCTCAGCTTTAAGACAAAATTTAAAACAAAATAAACACATGAGGGTACATGTGGAAATAGAATGAGAAGAGACGTGAGCTCAGTCAGGCACAAGCCCTGTGCAATTCAAATCCCAAGAGGAGGAGAGAGACATAGGAGCTGGCAGAGGAGACAGAGAAAGTGCAATTCGAGCAGTAGGAAGAAAATCAAGAACGTGCTGGACACAAGCCAAGAGAAAGGCTGTTTCAACAAGAGAGTGGCCGGCCTCTGACAGATGAGGGCTGACACCTGCCCATTGGATCTGGTAACATGGTGGTCATTAATGGCTAAGACAAGAGCATTGCCGATGGAAGTGGACTGGACTGTGTTGGTTAAAGGCACTTTCTATTTCTTGTTTTGTTTTTTGTTTTTTTGTTTTTTGAGATGGAGTTTCACTCATGTTGCCCAGGCTGGAATGCAATGGTACAATCTCTGCTCACTGCAACCTCTGCCTCCTGGGTTCAAGCAATTCTCCTGCCATAGCCTCCCAAGTAGCTGGGATTACAGGTGCCTGCCACCTTGCTGGCTAAGTTTTTGCATTTCTAGTAGAGAAGTGGTTTCACCATGTTGGCCAGGCTGGTCTCGAACTCCTGACCTCAGGTGATCCACCCACCTCGGCCTCACAAAGTGTCGGGATTACAGGTGTGAGCCACCTTGCCCACCCAAAAAGCACTTTTTGGAGCTTGAGACTAGGTTTAAACTCTGCTTCTGCCAGCTGTTGTGTACCCCCCGGGCAAATGACTTAACCTCTGTGTTTCAGTTTTGTTTGTGAAATGGGGCTAATAGTGGTACTTACAATACAGATAGTTATGAAAATTAAATGTGTTAATATGCTTAAAGCATGTATGTGCTTAGACTGTGCCTGGCACAGTGTGTTCATTATAGTATCAATCATACTGTTAATTTCAAAAATCGAACGGAGGCTCTTCCTCTCCTTATTTCTCTCCTTCCTCTTCCTGAACAATTCAGTCTTAAAGCCATTAGATGGAACACACAGAAGGGGGTGCCCAGAGTGGGGTGTTAGAAGCCCAGCAGGGTGAGAAGGGTGTTCACACTAGGGGTGGCCTGGTGCAAAGCGTCATCAGTAAGGTAGGGTGACAGGCATCCCCTGTAGGGTCAGGGATGGGGTAGTCTGGAGCCTTTCTTTACTACGTTAGGAGTAAAGAGACATCAAAAATGGAACAAATTGGCATCGTGCACCCCCTACCGGGATGCAGTGAGGAAAACACAGCATCACATCTTGTGCTATTTCTGCCCAAGGTGTATAACCTGAATCTAGCCTTGAGGAAATATCCAACAAACCCA